ATCCCCCCCCCCCCCCCAGTGGCTGGTGGGCAGGATTAGAGGATGTTTCAGGGAGGTGAGAAAGAAGATAAGTTCCTGAAGTGAGTTTCTAAAGGCATCTTGCAAGGCAAATAGCAATGCACATTTCATAAGCATTTATTCAAAGGCTTTAAGGGAAGATACAAATGACATTTTTCATAGTTTTCCCTGCTGCACTGACTGCTCTGCTTCCCAAAGCTCAGGGAAGCCCAGTGCTCTTGGGGGTGCACAGAAAAGGACTGGAATAACAATTTTTCCTGTAAAACAAGCTAATGAGAAAATACTCTTTAGTATACTATTCCACTCCTGCACAAAAAAAAGTCCTTTCAAGCCCACCATTGCATTTTGCTGTCCTGAAAACCGAACAACTATTGACCTTCTACAAGTCCCTAGAGCTCAAAGGAAAAGTAATGATTTTCAGACTGTAATTGTTAAGGAGCAGGACTCTTCCAGAGGCATTTTTTTAGAGTTTAACACACATTTGCTATGCAGGGTTCCTATGTCCTACTGTAGCACACATTTTAGAAGTGCACTGTTAACAATGCAGCATGAAGATTTCCAAATTTCACGTATGCACAATTTCATAAACATTAAAATGTGATTAGCGTTACAGGGAATCACAAGTGCAATTGCAGGCATTGCTGCTCCAGCGTTTCCTCTACCTCAGGCACCTCAAAGAGTGGGAATTTATACTGAAGTTAATAATCTACCTGATCACTAAATCAGCCTTAGCACTGAAAGGCACCTGTCATTATACCCCTTTAAAATTACACCCCACGCCCCTACTTTTTGGTGCTTAGCTTTAGTTTTCACAAGACCAGACCATTAAAAAAACCTTGTATTTCCTGAAGAATTGTGATTGAAAAGTGTCTGTTGGGCACTACTGCCCATCACATGAGCTTTGAGATTACCAAGCAGACTGTGAATCCGCTCTGTTTAGGGCAAACCATTACCCTGGCTGTTGACACAGGACGATGCAGTTACCAACATCACCACTAGCATTTACTACCTCAATTATTCTGAAAAGGGGGACTTCCCCATTCCAACCTGCTGAATTTTGACTAAACAGAGCTTTAGGAAGAAATGCCACTTTGAACTTTGAAGAGTAACAGCCAGCCTGACTCAGTGCTGGTGGCTTGAAGTGGAAAGCCCAGCAGCAGGGGTGATCTGGGTTCAGCTTTTCAACTCATGACTAAGGACATGTGTGCATTGTTTTTTTAAAGTTTATTTATTTGAATATTTGAAAGCTGGTTATCCCACTGGCCTCATTCTGAGCGTTTAGCACTGTGAAGGCTGAGCAGTTCTCATCAGCTCCGAAAAGGAGGCAAGGGGAGACTACCACAGCCAGCGTGGATGAACCAGGACAGAAGCCCTGCCTACCTTTTCTTCCATTTTCTGCATCTCCTTTCCCAGTCTTTCCATCAGACTGGGAGTTGAACAGTGAGAAGAGCTCATAAGGAACATTTCAAAAAAGAAAATAAGCAAGAACTGATAAGGTCAAGAACAAAGAGACGGGAGGGCTCAACACCAGACACAGCGTGCCTGTTAGGGACAAGTGGGGTTGGCAAGGGCTTGCCTGGAGAATACTGGCAGAAGAGAGCCTAAGGCAGAAACGTTTGTTAGGAACAGACAGCAAGGGCCCAGTTTCCACACAAAGAGAGCAGAAATTAATAATAAGCAGTCAAGTGCACAAAAAGCGTTACAGTTTTCAATGGACTTCAGCTTATTCTGAGCTCAAACATGACCGCACGCCTCCACACACCTCTGCTGCTCAGAAAATTCTTTTGCTGTTTTCACACAAGTGGTCTGATGGGTGAACCTGTGTTTTGCAGGCACGAAACAGCAATTGCAAAGGGAACACCAACCCTTCTCCAGCCCAGGTCCCAGACACTTACTTGGGACTTGCTGTCCAGGCTGCTGCCACGTCTGGTAGGTACTGCCCCAACCCTGCGTCATGAACGCCTGAGGACCACTGCAGGGGACAAAAAGGCACACTGAGGTAGGCAATAAAATACTTAACAGGCCGTATACATGATGTTGCCCGTAGAAGCGAAATTGTTACTTATGGTCAGCAACTGCTGAGCAAACAGGTGAACATGGGAACAAAAGGAAATGCTGTGTAGGTGTGACTGCTTGCTATTGGTCTGGTCATGAAGCCAAGATGAAGACCCATCATACTGAACAGCACTCCTTGTGCTGTATGCAGTTCAGGCTTCTTTCCATGCTCTCACTGCACTAGAGACAGGAATTTTGGAGATGCCAATAGCTACTTTTTTTCTAAGTTAATAGCTAAAATCCTTCCTGTAGTCAAGCTTAAAGGATCAATCTCACTTGCTTCTTGCTTCTGAATGCTCAGTCTTTAAAAAGCTCCACTTATACACCACCCCTTCAGGGCCCTCCACCCTCCTCCCAATGTTTTTATAGCTCCCAGCCATTCCCCACAGCCCATCCATGATGAGATGGAGAAGCTTACTTTTGATGAGGTGTAGCAGGTGCTTGGCTGAACGGACTCTGACCAAATCCTCCAGGTCCACCCATGCTGGTACCCTGTCACAGAATCCACAAATACTTAATGCCAGCTCTAAGCACAGGGTGGAGGCAGCTAGTAGGAGCAGTAAGAAAGGGGAGAAGACAGCCTGGGACATGTTCCACTAAACCCCAGCACCTGAAAGAAGTGACTGATTCTCCAAGGATGAAGTTCTCAGGACTGTCAGCACACTCCAGGAGCCCAGCTTCAAAAACAACTCCGGCCAGCCCACAAAGGGACTAACGGGACTACGGCACACTTGGAAGTTTTCCTTTGAATAGCTGGATCCTGAGGTTGGTATCAAGCCTTCTCCTCTCAGGCAATTCAGCATAAAGGTTGCTTTTCAGCTTTACCATGCCCCAGTTCAGTACTTTCCATACTTTCTTTTACCCAAGTCTCCCCCTTCAGTAGTACTCCAGCCTGACATTATTAAGCTTCAATACCACAGCACTGCATTAAGTGGAAGATAAGTCATCCTGGATTTACTGGAGCAAGGAGTTGAGCGTTACTTTCAGGATGATGATGCCAGGATTGTGTCATTCTCACGCAGTGACACTATTGTCTTCCCTTCAAAAAGTCTCCTTTGACAGCCTTCTCATACCTTATTATTGCTGCTCTTCCCTCTCATACAGCTGCACACTACCCTTGATTATGTCAGCAAAGAGTCAGATCCTTCTGGGACCACAGCAAAAATTAGTCCAATGGATGCTGGAGGGTCAAAGTTCAAGACAGCTGCTAACAGGCAAATGGGTTTGAAGCTGAATAACGTAAGCGTGTGTATTCTGTGCCATCCTGTAAGTCCAGGCCTACATGTACCTAAGAGTGAAAACACCACATCTGAAAGAGACAGACCAAGATCAACAGAGATGGAACTTACACCAACTTTCTCATCTATGAGATGTCTAGCGAGTTCAATTTGCTGGGGAACTCCTCTGATTGTGAATATTCGTACACCAGGGTCTGTGTTCGGAGGTGGGTTTCTCTGGAGCTCCACATGGGCTCCCGACTGCTGATTTATGCTCTTGATGTTCTCACCACCTAAAGAAAAGAAAACCAAGGCATAAGGAGGGATATTCAGCATCCCCTTCCACAAAAGCATATCAAAGTCAGGTTCTGGTCATGGAATATAGTTTCAACTACCTTCCGCGTGCCTCAAGGGAGGCGGGCTGAGGATCGCAATGGCATAAGAAACCACAGTACCTGAGCTCATGTTGCTCCTTTAAAATGCCTCGTAAGCATGACCTGAAAGTGTGAGCTACTGCAATGGTGTTTGGGGTCATGGATGGTGCTGTTTCAAGAATACATACAGCCCCCCTTGTGTGCACACTGCTAGGCTCCCAAGAAAATGCAGCATGGCTGAAACACACTTTGACAAACTAGATGCAAAAAAACTGTACTGACTAAATTCTGGTGGTTTCACACAGCTGTTCACAATCCTCAAGAAAAGAAAGTAACCTGCAACTGAAACATGCTTTTTCCTTCTCCCACGAGGCTTTTTTGTCCATCACTAGACATTTCATTCCACTAAGGCAAAAAGCCACGAGCCACATACCTTGTAGCTTAAAAACAAAGCTTAAGCTTTCTCACAATCATGTGCCGTTCAATAGCTTATTCCCTTAAAGAAACCCCCGCTTACCGCGCTTCCTATTCACACTGCGGTGTAGGCATCCCTCCCTCCACACAACCGCAGTAGTGCGGGATTCCAGGCTGTCTTCCCCTATTTCAGAGTTAGTTGTGCATGCAGTGAACATATCTGGCTGCTCTGCCATCTGGATACGCTGGAGCACAGGAGTGCTTGGAGCAGGATGCTGCAGGGCCAGCCAAAGTAGATCTGATTTCCTCAAGACCTGCTAGCTCCCGGTCTCTTAATGAAATTTGCTTAACAAAAGCCTCAGCCAATGTTACAATGGTTCAATTCTTCTTTTGGAAGCTCACACAACTTACAGACCAGCTCCACTCAACTGGAGAAATTAAAGGGTGCGGGGAAGGAAGGGTTTTTACAACTTTTAAATCACAAACCAAAACTCACCAGCCAAAAGGACATACAGCAAGCAGGAAAGAGAGCAAAGGCAACTAACCGGAGATTTTTGTTTGGTTTTAATTAAAAAGAGTCTCCAAAAATAATCTCCTCCATTTTGCTCGCATTTCCATCTCTATACATCCAGCACAACTTCAAAACAAACTGTGGATGTTGCAGACACTTGTTCATTTCATTGTAATGGACTCGTGACCTTTTTAACATTTTAAAGCCTTCTTGGGGAAGGGAGGAGGAAAAGTTGCCAAAGGGCAATTAACTCTTTCTAAATGAATTTTTGAAGATGCATTTAACAAAAGATAATCGTGTCACATCCCTGGGCAGACAACAGGGATTGTACTGTGCAGCCAAAAGCCAACCCACTTATTTTCAGTCAAGCATGGGAAAGCGGTAAGATGAAGTTTCAAAACCAAGAAGTTTTTTTTTATGTAATGCTTTTGTCTGATGCAGACTTGTTTGAAGCTCTTTTTTATACGTATTGAGGTGAGGTCTGAATCAACAGCCATTTCATCTGCTTAATGAAAACAGAGGACCCTTTTAGCCAACACAATTTGGATCACGAAGGAGCGGGAGAACTTCTTTACTGGGTGACAGAGGCATAACCATAGGTTGCTACTCGCACAGCAGACTAGGTTTCTGCATCCCAAAAGGGGATTAAAAATTGAAGCATTCTCAAACTGGAAGCAAGGGGAATACAGATTTCAAATCATTTCCCCATTTAGCATTCAGCACCAAGTTTGTAGTTGTTGGGACTGGTTTCACATCAGGTCCCTCCCAGACCATATTGCAGGATCAAGTTAGCTGGGTCTCCAGGTTTGGTCAGAGGCTGCAAGCTCCCACCCCCCGTACCAGGACTCGGTGCCCTTCTCCTCCTCACCCTCCAGTCTGGTCCCTGCCACGGTGCTCCCTCCCATCCAAGCTATCCCAATTCAGCCCCCAGAGCATGCAAATGAAGTGACGCAGTCAACACGATGATGCACGATGCCGGAAGGAGTTCATCTTCCCCCATAGCGAGGTGACCCGCTCGGCACATGGTGGCTGTCTATAGACACATTCAGCAGCCCGCTCCATTCTTCTACCTGATGGGGGGTAGAAGTGATCCAAGAGCAGCCCCCCAGCTGAACGTGAAATCGTAAAGCAATTAATCAAACCTGCTAAAAGGCAGAGCTGACAAGAGCCAGGCCGGCCACGTTATCTGTCAATATTGCTGTATTTATCATGGAAATCCAGCGGGGGCCCAGAGAGGCTGCGGTTTGTTTCCAAGCACCACCAAACAGAGAAAGCACTTGACATGTGTATGGTGCTCGTCTCCACCCTTCCTTGAGTCTTTCAGAAAAGAAAAGCTGCACCTACCCACCCTCTAGAGGAAAAAGCTATGCACAGGATTTGCAGGGAGCCGAGTGCTTCTTATCAGCTCATAAAGGCTCCCGCTCCCAAGCTGAGAAGTGATGCCCATGAGAAAAGGGCCTTAGATCTATCATATACGCTTTAGAAATTGAGCTGAGAAACTTCCTCATCTCCCTCTTCCCCGCCCCCCC